GTGTGTGAGTGTGTGTGAGTGTGTGTGTGTGTGTGTGTGTGTGTGTGTGTGTGTGTGTGTAGCATCACCTCAGTTTCTCATCTCAGTGTTTGCTATATTTCTCCAGTGACTGAAGTAGTTTATTGGCAGTCAGTTTGTAAAATGCTCTCTGGAGTTATCTAAAAGTAGAATTCTAGGATGGAAATACATTCATTGACTTGCCTGTCAAAAGATGTAATTAACACAGATGATACACTGTCTTCCAAAAGCAAATGAAGATTCTAAGGTTGACCCAAGTCAAGGCTCTGCAGTGCGTACACAGACTGCACTAAAGTCTCTTCCACTGTGGCTCAAATCCTCCACTTTTAGTTCTCTGGTCATTTTAATCCCATGTGCACATGTGTGTGCACATGTCTGTGTTTGTGTGTGGTACATTCAAAACACACCACCCAATTTCAATATTTGTTTTTACAATTTTGGTACAATTGAATTATTGCATGAGTAATATTCCATTTATATAGGATACAAAAGAATGGTTATAGTATTTTTAAGTGCTCCCCATAATTCAATATGTAGGAACATAGTTCATGGATGCCACCCTTATGATCTAATTACCTCCTAAATGACTCACCACTGTCTGTATCAACATCCCAAAATCAGATCCAGCCCAGAAATTTGGGAGTGAATAGTGGGAACTCTTCATCTATTAAATATGTTCATTTCATACATGTTACAATATCTGTACTATTTTCTACAAAGTGAAATAGCAAATCAACAACCGTGTACATTTCTCATTTTGAAATGTATTGCCCAGTTTTGAGGTATTTGTGCCAATTGGCTTTACACTCATAAAAGAAAAATATGTGACCATACAAAGCTAGTCTTGTCCTCAAAGTGCGTTTTCAATATTGGGAAAGATTATCAATCTAAACAGTAGAAAAATAGTTTGTCAATTCACCTTTAGTAAGCAGTTACCTTATTATAAAATGATAGAATTTTATCAGGAGTTGATAAGCCAGTTGTATTGGTATATTTTTTCAATAATACTTTCATATCTTTTTTGTTCAAATTTATTGCAAATTATTTGGCTTTCTTTCCTTTATGATTTAAAGTCATGCTTAAAAGTACTAAAGACCTACATGCTTTATTTATGGTAGATATTTTATTTGAACCAACAGTTTATCTATCCTTCAGTAGATTCTCTGCTCATTTGTGGGGAGCTGATACCTGCTGGGGAGCAAGAGACATTTTTGTTTAGGGATATGGTCTCTGGTTGGGTAGACCATACTCCAGTGAAGGTCAGACATGCAAGACTTAATGGGCATTGCACACTGTACTTGAGGGACTTAAAAAAATCTATGTATCTATAAAAATTTGGTGGTAAAAGGAATGGGGACAGATCTCAAAAGATTGAGAAGAGGAATAAATATGATAAAAATGTATTGTATGAGATTCTCAGGGGAAAAGGAATTATCTTCTCTTGAGGTAGTCCTGTGAACGCACACAAGCTTTCTGTGCTTTGGGGGATGGTCCATTTATACATAGAAAATGGTCTGATCAAACTGTACTTCTTCTGATGTCAATTTGCTAAATTATATTTGTTAAAAAGAAGTCACCATTACATCCAGATTTAATACAAATTCAGATAATCCATTTTTCTTATAAAGTATGTTATAGCCTGTGTGAATTTTTGTCTTCTTGGTCTATCAATTACTAAAAAATAAATAAATCATAACAAAAACAAATCTATTGAATTGTCTGGGAGCTGAGATTTATCTAGTTTCCATCAAATTTATCATTTTGTCCTGTATATCATCCCTGAAATATACTTCCCCATTGGTCATAGGAAGAGTTTCAAGTTCAGAATTATTTTTAATCCATGACAGGGGCCTAGTTTTGTCAGAAATGGCTAACATTTTCCTACCAATTGTTCTTGTTTTTTACTATATAATTTTTTTAATTTGTTGTATAGTACATTATTTTGTAGAAAAAATATAGTTGATTTAATAGTTAATTTCTGGGAATACTATGAAATGGCTTAGAAGAGACAATTATAAATAAGTACATCATATGGTATATGCAACATGTAACAGATAAGCAACACTACAACATGGACATCTATTGAAATGACCATAAGTACCTCCATCACTTGCTGCGCTTGGATGTGTGAACACAAGCCTGCATCTGCCATGTGGGGAAAGCAGGAAGAAAACTAATCATGTAATCCTTTTCTGCTTCATGTAGATTCACATTTCACTGATTAATGGGAGACCAAGTGCTGACGATCCCTCCCCTGAACTCCTAGAATTCACCTCTGCTCGATATATTCGCCTGAGATTTCAGCGCATCCGAACCTTGAATGCCGACTTGATGATGTTTGCTCACAAAGACCCCAGAGAAATCGACCCCATTGTCACAAGAAGAGTAAGTGTTGGGAAGAACACTGCAGCCTGAATGCCATCATACCCATATTCTTAATACTTGATGAAGGATCTAGAGAGAAATCGTTCTGTGATTTGTAGGAACATTTATAATAGACACTTTAACACCCAGAACACTCTGCTTTGTTCAAATCCAAGCTCTGTGACCTATTAATTACATGGAATTTATCAAGCCCTTCAACATTTTTCAACTTTAATTTCCTCTTTTGTAAAATGGGGATCACAATATCTTGTTCATAATCTTCTTAAAATACTGCATTAATCTCTGTCACTTTAGGTGATCTGTATTTTTATAATTGTCTCTGAGCTGCTACTTAAACAGGGTTTTGAAACACTTTTGGCCAAAACCCACATGGGGAAATACATTTTATATATTTACCATACACATAGCTGGTGTTATCGTGGAAAGCACATTCTAATTCAGTAGGTATAGAGCAGGAATGAGATTCTACTATCTTAGAAAGTTTCAGAGATGTCAATATTGCTGGTCCAAAGACCAGGCTATCTCGTCAAATATTCTGGATCCATTAATGATACATGAACCACAAAATTAAAACAATAAAAAGCCCTGCCTATTGAGAAGATGATTCTACAGACTGCTTTTATTCTTTATGAATAAAATTAACAGAAGAAAAAAAAAGTCTTAGAATCTTTTCAACACATCTTTGACAACCAAAGCTAATGGTGTATTTTCTTTCAAAGTCAAACAAACAGAAAAGTGTGAGGTTGTTATGAGAAGGATGATCTGCTCAGCTTGCTGTTCCTAATTTTGATTTTCCCCCCTATGTACTCCATACTCTAGTCATGAATTTGTGTAGTGTCTGTCCCCACACAGCCAAACCGTTGTAATAGTTTAAATTCAGCCTTGAACCCTAAGGGACAGCCATGATAACAAAGCAATTGCTGTACGGTACACCTGAGGCTACACATAGGGAAGGGACCAGTAGGGTGAAATTGAACCTGATGGTAGAACACTTAAATCTAGAATATGAAGATCAGACCATGGCTACCACCTAACCTCCTAATGACACAGTGAGCTGAGTGTCACTGTTCTTCATCAGTCTTCTCCTGTTTTTCTCTCCTTATTGATTAACCTACTACCCAAGCTTACCCTCTCCATCATCACAGAATAACTACCAAGGTTTTAATTATCTCCATACAACATATGGTAGCCGTTCTAGTGCCTTTTATTTTCCAAACTTAAAGCAATTTTACTTTGTATTATATTTTACCAGATTGTCAATTGCCTTATGCAGAAGTAATCATTATATCTTAACACTGTTTGGATTCTTCACAGATTGAAAAAAATCACCTTTAATTTTATTTTTAGCATGAAAAAGTCTGAACAATATTGTGAAATGTATTCTTCTTTGACAAGTATTTCAGGGAACATCAATGAAAAAGAATACTGTTCCTTTTTATTATCTTTTGCAGGACTGATTGGAGGTTGTGTTACACATTTATTATTTACAGTGGCATTAAACTTGAGTCTGAGTCGCCATATTGCATATGCTTTCCGAAAGTGCTCAAGTTCAAAGAACACTACATGCAAATTTAAATAAATGAAAACAGAATAGCATATTTCATCACTTCATACTCAAAAGCAAAGCAATATGTGCTTACAATTAAAATGAATTTCCTAATTTTAAAAGCATCTACAGTAATACCACACTGGCTTCTTGAGCAATTATCTCCATTTGTATCTATGTCATTAAGTTATGAAGTTAAGTAAAGAGAGATTTTGTTCTTTTTTTAACTTACCTAAATTTCTCAGCATGTTCCATTAGTTGAAACTCTAGCTATAACAAATAACCAAAGATGAGAAAAATGATACTATATGCATATAGCAAAACCAAAGAAGAATAGAAAAAAAGAAATATATAGAATAATAAATAATTTTTAGTCAGGGAACTCAGATATGTGTTTATTACTTATTCTTACTGAAGCTGCCATTTCTTCATGTATGTACTTGTAATATTAGAGCTTTCTTTCCCTGAGAGGGTTATTTGGATACTAAATGATGATGTTAAAAAAGTCTAATGATTATAAAATGTTATACACATTAATTAAAATTTCAATTTAGTGCAGCTCTATAATTATGAATAGTATCTTAAAAATAGCTGGTAGTTTAAAATGACTATGACTGTAGCTTTGTGTTAATTTCAGATAGGAAAGCAGTTGTAAGAACATTTTAACATAATAAAAAAGCAAGTTTTCTGCACATCAAACCTTCACTTTATGATTTTTTCCTTCCACATTCCTTGTGAACCTTTATAAAAATTATATTGTTACCACCACAGTTTCCCTTAAAGGTATTGTTCCACTTCAAATTTGTCAAGTAAAAATGGGATATTCTGATTCACAAATACCCAGTTTCTCAGAATCATAACTAAAGAGGTTGTCTTATAAGAAACTGTGTAAAACAACTTTCTGAAAAATTACTCAGCCTCAAGGTCAAAACTGCTGTGGCAATGAGGTACTCCAGCCTGGACACTGTAATGCCCATGAGAAAGAAATCCCCAACAGGGGCATGTACCACAAATTGAAGGCCTTCTTCTTGGGGCTATGAGTTGCAATACTAGGAGTTACTTCACCTCAGGAAAGACAAGGCAAAGGTGAAGTTTTAACTGACTGACCTTCCCCCTTTTTCTCCTCTTCTGTTCTCCCTCTTTAGCAATGCTGACATTTCTCTCTCTCTCTTTTTTTTTTTTTTTACAGTATTACTACTCAGTCAAGGATATTTCGGTTGGTGGGATGTGCATCTGTTATGGTCATGCCCGGGCTTGTCCACTTGATCCAGCAACAAATGTATGTATATTTATAGGACGCTTAGGCAAAGCGAAATGCCACACTGCAAAATACTTCAGGAGAGACTTCACTGAAAGGAAATGCTGTGAATGGGTGTCAGGTCCCCACTTAAATGCTTTAACAGCAAGCCTTGCCAGGGTGAAATGGAGCTGGCAGTTAAGATGATAGACTTTGAATCCTGCCGTCACTGCATCAGAAAACAGATTAGTTTTCTTTTCCCATAAAGGTTCCAAAGCGGTATCTGTTTTGAAGCCTCTCTAGCTATGACAGCCTGATGCACAGTTTAGCTTTGTGAGAATACCTGCCATCAATCTACCTGTCTGGTCCCTTAAAATTTTTTAATCAAAAGAAAAAATCATGCAAAGAAATGAAAACTGTGCATGGAGGTAAGCATATAAGTGTCCCTGTGACAGGAAGCTGACATGGGGGAGGGAAAATAAGAGAGTATTCGAGTGTTGAAATTGCCAATCTCGGGCTTGAAAGCTTTTATGTAGAACTTTTCATTAATGACAACGAATGCACTAGGTGAACATAACCTCAAGAAGACAAATGAGCATGTGTTTTTCTCCTGTCATAAACAAACTGATGAAATTCAAAATCATCAACTGTGCAGCATATGGAAGAGATAGATTGAATTGGAAAATAAGTGGGTATCTCTAAGGCCATGAAGGGATTTTTTTGTTTGTTTTTGTTTTTTGCATCTACTAAAAATCTACTACAAGTAACGTTATACCCAAAGTTAGTTTTCTGATTAATGACTTGTGTAACATTATCTCCCAGAGAGTTGGGAGGCCCTGGCTGATAATTCTGAACTAGTTTGAGTGTAGCTTGCTCCATGTTATCTATCAGGGTCACCAATGAACAGTGTTTCCCAAGTATTGAGAGACCTTAAAGCAGCCTTGGAAAAGCTATGAATAGAGACTAGAACACAGGGCACAGAGACAAAAGCCATGGAAACAGAGATTCTAAACTCCTGCTTTTCCTAAGGACCTAGATGTGCAGTGGGGACTAGACTTCCTGTCTTGTCATTTCTGAAAGTCTGTTGTTTTTTTTTTTTTTTTTGGAGACAGGGTTTCTCTGTGTAGCCTTAGCAGTCCTGGAACTCACTCTGTAGACCAGCCTGGCCTCAAACTCACAGAGATCCACCTGTCTCTACCTCCTGAGTGCTGGGATTAAAGGCTTGTGCCAGGACTGCCCAGCACTTATAAAACTTTTAGTAGTGTTCTGAGGTAAGGCTTATATTAGGCCTGTGCCCTAGAAAAGAGAGTCTCAAGGTACTGGAGAATCAGAATTCAGTCTTCAACTGGGCCTCTCTGCTGTCTTCAGAACCTAAACCCAATAATTCCAGCCACAGCAGGGAGCAACCACACTGCTGCAGATCGTTTGTAAACACCCTAGTACCGCCACTGTCTCCTGCACATGCTGACCCTAATTTTACAATTTCATGCATAGTCTAGATGTTTTTCCTTTTCTACACCCACCTTTCAAAGACAACCCCTCTTCTGTGGTTCTATACAACACTCAAAATCTTCTCCTCTCCCTTTGTGGCTAGAAATCACGTTGCGAGTGTGAGCACAACACCTGTGGGGAGAGCTGTGACAGGTGCTGCCCTGGATTTCATCAGAAGCCCTGGAGAGCTGGGACTTTCCTCACCAAGACTGAGTGTGAAGGTATGTCCCTGACTTGAGAGGACGTGTGATGGTGTGTCCCTGACTGACTTGAGAGGACAACCCTGCCATTCTGCTTCTTCTCAGGTCACAGAGAACATCACTGTGAGCTAATGTGGGTTAGGTATTCTCATATCCCAGCTATATATTTTAGCCAAGGCCATAGCTAGTAAATTCATCAACCAACTGTCTTACTACTTCAGGTTTCTTGGAATTTCATCTTAAATTTCTAAATATTTATCAAATGCTATGAATTTATCATAAATATAAGGATTATGGGAAACACAAGAGAAAATACCACATATTTTTCTTCATAAGGAAAAAGTCAGTACTTGTAGCATAAGACACCAACACAAACATAAAAACATATGGCAGCATATAACCACATCTGAAACATACAAAATATACAGCAAACACAAACACATATTAAAAACAAATATTCATAGTACACATATAAACATGAAAATGCACAAAAACCATATAAATCACATACATAAATATACAATAAACAAACACATGCACAAACCCAGACACAGAAACACATAGGAATACAAAGAAACATATAAGAATGAAGACATACAAATATATACAGTCACTAACAAATACATATAAGATCATGCACAAAGACATAAAAACATCCAAACACACACATAGATAGGCACACAAGAAGAGACACACAAACATACAAGTACAGGCATGAAAACATAAATAACCAGATGCCTACGGACATAAATAGAAATGGAGATGGGCAGTAAGTGAAACCTAGTCTTTGGGGTGCCTTCTGAACACAGATACTGGTATAGTCTGTATTGTCTGTCTCTTTTGGTCCGGATAATCACTTATAACCTCCCACAAATAGCCTTTAAACAGGACTGAGTACAAGAGTCCAGTCAAAGGTGAGAGATTATCTTTATGATAGAACCAGGCTATAAACAGAGAATGAAAGGATTCATTAGTCACACTTAGGCTGTGCAATGCTGATGATGCCATCTACAGTGGTAAACAGTCATTAGATTAATTCCATATAGCAATTACCATAAAGAGTGCTTTAGTAAATGTGGAAGGGGAGCTATGGCTTTGACATACTGATTGTCAATAGTCTACTGCTTTAAATACAGATTCCTTATAGCAACACCACTATAGAACTACTTATAATAAAGTGGTATCTGTGGTGATTATTAGCACATTTGATGGACAATGAGCATCAAGAAAAAGTGAAAGAAATGAAAAATAGGTCAACAAGAGTTCATACTTTAAACAATTACCTTAGAGATAAAATGAATCTGTTTCTCCTCAGGAAAATAAACAGCCTACTGCCTGAGATACTAATTTGGTCAAGTAGCCCACCATAGTGACCTGAATTCTAGATATGCAATTGTTTATTTTTATTTTATGTGCATTGGTGTTTTGCCTGCCCATATTAGAGGGTGTTGGACCCTAGAGTTAAAGATGGTGTGGAGCTGCCATTTGGCTTCTGGGAATTGAACCTGGGTCCCCTGGAAGAGCAGTCAGTGTTCTTAACCTCTGAGCCATTTTTTCAGCTCCCGTTACCTGAATTCTAGAGAATTCTATTTTTTGTAGATTTTTTTAGGGCAAGAAAAGATCTCAACACACACAGTTCTACAGAACGGTAGACTCAAACTTGCAGGAAGCCAAATTCAGCTGAATTCAATATTAATATTTTAGTGAGACAGCCTAGACCATATATTTTAAGTTCAAAAAGTATGAAAGGTCTCAAATACAGGCTTGCATCAAGTAAGTAAATCAAGTCCTATATGTTGAATATAAAGAAATGCCATTTATGTTTATTGTGGCTCATATATTGGACATGGTAAGATTCAAGACAATTGAATAAAATATTCTCCAATCATAAAACCCACACTTTTGAGATTTTTAGTGCTACACATGTTATCCACATTTTGAGTATCTTTGATGTGTGTCTACCTGTTCTATTATTAGTGGACAAATGAAGAGGCTTAGCCACCACTGAATGCCAAACAGACTGTAGGTCTGTCCATTCTTCATTTTCAGCTCTTCTCAGCCATCTCTGATCTAGCAGGATCCGTTTGTTCTTATGTAATTTTAAAAAGTTGGGGATTGTAAGTGCTTTCTTCTTTTGTAAGGTGGATGGGAATGTTGTCTTCCATACTCTGAAGAATAAAGATTTTCAAAGCCCAGAAATTAATGATGGCTATCTTAATCATAGAATAGCCAGGCCCCACACCACTGGCAATGCATCCATTTCTAGAGGGAAACAGAAAATGTCTCCTTTCCAAGTTTAATATTTAGGAAAATCTCTCATGATAGGAAAACTCTCCCTATATAAAAGATAATCATTTCTAATTAATTTGAGTTTAATTTAGATTTTCAATGATCTGGTTTATTTAAAGCAAGATGTAGCTCTGAATAATGACAAATTTTCATTCTGTTACTAAGACTTTAAAGCACATGTCAAGGCTTTTCTGTGGAATAGAAAGTTGCTGATTGACAACATAGAAAATGGCTCACTGATAGCAGACACCATCCCTATCCTCTGAAGCCATCAGCTTAGAGTTGGGCACAGTATCGTTGATGCTGATAGACAGATAATGGGTTCTGGTTGCAGGAAATATGAGTGATTCCACCCAAGCATCAAACATTAGCCCACAGTTTACATACTCAGTAACATCCATTCTAAATATTGTGTAGATAATTCTGTATTGCATTACACACTTCCATCTACACTGATAGCTGAAAATTTCCATTTCTTATAATATATATTTAAAAGAGGATGTTTAAATATTTGTTTGTCTTTTCCTAAACCCAAAAAGTCATTTATAATGAATGAACAATTATATTTATTACTGTGTATTCCCTAAAATAAAGCTTGAAACTCTACAAGTATAATGAAATTATTATTTTCTAAATCAAAATGTTGGAGAAGGCTTTTTCAACAACCATGACGAGGAGATATCATTCTTACTGTATTAGGAGGTCTTACATGTCAGTAAGAAAAACAATAATGCTATTATACAAAAGCAAAACAGTTCTGTCTTTTGAAAAACATGGCATTCACAATTCAGACAAAAGAGAATGACTCTTAAAACCAGGACACAGCAATTAAAACAATGAAAATATTGTTTGATTTGTCTGTGTATGCATACATCATCCTAACAAATACTTGAATACTTGATATTCTAATTATACTATAATAATGGTATCAATAAGTTACAATATTGGTGAGGTTATGGGGGGAAGGCTTTCATCATGTCTATTGGGTAGAGATTCATCTAGGAGAACATTTTGGGATGGCCATTTTTTTCAGTCTATTAAAATTCAAGTTGACATGCCTTCAGTCTAAAATAGTAATTATATTTTTAATAATTTAGTCCAAAATGTATCATATGTCTACACAGGCCATATTCTAATAATCTTTGCATTATTTTAATTGCTATCACTAATATATTTCTTGGAGCATGTCTCTCCAGAATTTTTTTAAAGTACTTTGCATTTACAAAACCAATCAAAGAAGTAAGTCACAAAATGGCAGCAAAATACTCTTCAAAGTCTCTGAGCTTAACAAAGGAAAGAGTTTAGCTTCATAGACCAGATCTCACCCTCAGTGTCATCCATTGATGCCAGTATATGTGCTCTGTTGCTTAAGAAGAAAACCCCCTGGCAACTTTGACTGTCCCTTAGCATGGTATTGACTCATGCCTCCTCTCCAGTAATATTCTGTGTAGCTGTGGGTGATACCCATGCTGTTTTAGAAAGAAAAGTTAGTTTTAGTAATGTCAGACAGTCTAGAAGAGTATATAAATACATAAAATGCTACGTACATACATGCACAGTGTGTGTGCATGTAAGTGTGTGTGTGTGTGTGTGTGTGTGTGTGTGTGTGTGTGTGTTTGTGTGTGTGCTCATACCCTCTGATACACAAAAACAAATCAATGAAAGAACAGATAACCAAATATACAGGAGGAAGGAGACTTCACAAATACCATTCCCTGGTTCTCTTCCTTATAAAAATTCATTATATATTTAAAAGCTTTACCAAGTCTTTTCTGGGAAAAGTGATTTTTCCCCACTGTCTTGAATTCCTATAATGCAACATGAAAAAGATAAAGAGGGTGAAGAGCAGGACAAATCAATTGAACTTATTTAAAGGCACTATGGTAATGGTGTTGCATGCATCATCTCATTTGATGCTTTTAAATATCCCTATCTTAATGACTATTGACTGTCCATGCTTCATATGGAAACTGAGTCCAGTGAAAGGAGGACATTACTTATATCACATCACTGCTAATCAAGGGCAAGAACATCCCATTCAAACTACTCTGGCTCTCATTCTGTCTGATTTCTTGATACCTACTGTGTACCTGTCTCATTGACTGGAAAGGATGTGAGAGGGACTGAAACAGGAGTTTGGAATGCAGGTTCTTGAATCTCACTTCAGAACAGTGTCCAATACCAAGGACAGTAGTTTGTATGTGATTTCCCCTGTCTCTGATTTGGTTTAGTGATGTAGGAAGAGGGTTTCATCATAATTGAAATCAATAACAGCAAATATAAAATGACTAGCAGAGAATCTAGCCTATTGAAAAGTTTTGTTTGTTATTAATGATGAAAAATTGGAGTAATTAACTCCTCCCTGTCCATTTTATCCACAAGATGTAGTATACAGGGTCACACGTGGGCATTATTCATCATAGATTACATGATTGTTAATCATTTCATGCTTTGTTCAATAATTTATCTGTCACAATTAAATGCCGATTCAACTATATGAAATTGTAGTTAGATTTGAAACAGTGAACTTTTGGTATTTCCACACTCAGTTGAATTTGTAGATTTTAATTATTTCAAACTCATTACAAGAATAAATTTATTGATATATATGTAATAAGTACAAATGCTTTTAAGGACTTGTGTGTCTATGCTATATGGATAATGAAATATTTTTAAATATATTTTAAACATGAAACTAGTACTTACTGCTTTGTATTTTGACTGTAGCATGCAATTGTCATGGAAAAGCTGAAGAGTGCTATTATGATGAAAATGTTGCCAGAAGAAATCTAAGCTTAAATATACATGGGAAGTACATCGGAGGGGGTGTGTGCATCAACTGTACACAAAATACTGCTGGCATAAATTGTGAAACATGTATTGATGGATTCTTCAGGCCAAAGGGGGTAAGGTATACTTTTCTCTCATAAAGTTTTATTTTTGATTTTTCATAAGAGTTATGTACTCCAAACTGACTTCAACATCTCTAAAACATGGGGCTTCATCCTTTAAAAGAAGACTGAGAACTTTTCTTACCTGAAAGTGTGGCGTGTGGATGTGGTATGCAGTGTTATAAGCACTCCAGCAAAGTCTTCTTTGAATTCCTCAAATTGAACCACATCCAAGTAGAGCTGTCTTCTGATCTTAGAAAATTAATTAAGTTTGCCTTTCGGTAAATGTCCAACAACAACAAAAGCTAGAATACAGTACTTGTTCATTTGCATCTTAATTTCTTCCATCATAAAACTTGAAGATTTATTTATCTTTGTTAAATGTGCCAATAATCGCTCATTTATAAGAACTAATAATATTCCTTTGCATGAACATACAAAGTAATTCAATCATTCTCCCATAGATGGATATTCAGGTAATTTTCAGATTCTTATTAGCTCCTACAAACAAGTCTACATATGTCATGTTATGGTCTTGTTTTAATGCATCTTTTGAAAATATACTTAAGAATAAAATGGTTGTTTCATAAGATAGGGCTGTATTAAAATTTATAAGACATTTCTACATTGTTATCAAATTATCAATGACATTTTACATCTTCACCAAAAATGTTTTGTGTTTATGAGTTCCATGTTGCCACTAATATTTATGGTTGACAAACTTTATATTTGATTTTGATCCCAAGGCCTATTGTGTAGCTTCTATGATGAAGCATATGTTCAAGTAAAGATACTATTCTTCTTCAATTTAGAAATTTTCCATTTTTAATTTTTAAACAATATCTTGAACTAATTTTTGTATTTTCAATGAAATAATGATTTAGACTTATATCTAGTTATTTAGGAATCATACAATGTTGCCATATAATGTGGATCAACTTGAACAGCCACATTCCTTATTCACTAACATCAGCCCACTTGGAGTCAAGCAATGCAGATTCACCCACTTTATACTGCATTTGAAACAAGGCTCTCTCTTTAGTAGTGTATTTGCATTTCCACAAAATGTTTAAAATTATCTTTTACTTTTTGAGATTATAATTTTATCATTTTCTACTTCCTGTTCTTTCCGCTAAACTCTCCCATGTACCCCCACTTACCCTTTTGGTTAAAATTCATGCCCCCTTTTTTTCAGTAATTGGTGGTGATGGTGGTAGTGGTGGTGGTGGTGGTGTGTGTGCGTGTAGTCTGTATAATGTTATTTGTATGTATGTTTTCAGGGTGGCCAAGAAAACACCAGTTCATTACCCATAAAATTTTACAATCTAGTTCTCAAATAAAGATCATATTGCTTGCTACTTGCTTAGAATCTTGTATTAATAGGGAGACAAGGACTCATATTAATGTTGAGTCACCTGATGAACGTTTGTCTCCATGTCCTTTTCAAAACTTATTCCTAACAGTAAGTTTGGAATACTGATCTTACATACCATTGGTTAAATTTAAATGTGTCTTTTGTGTGTATGTTGTGTCTCAAATAGTAATTAAATGATTTAGTAAAACTTTTTCCCCAATTCTTTCATTTTATTATTAAGAAAAAATATAATACTGAGTTTATCATCTGTACTTATTGAAAATTAATTTGTTTGTTCTAGGATTCTTACAGTATTCTTTAGAATTACACACTTAGACTCTTGTCTATAAATAACGCCAGGCTCACTCTTTACTTTGAAATATTTATGATGATGTTAAATAGAATTGGTGAGAGCTGAAGTTTTTATTTTGTTCTCACTTTAAATACAAACATAATAATTCACTATTGAGCATGCTGTGAGTTATGGGATTTTTATGGGTGCCTTTTATCAGATTCAGCAACTTCTCTCCTCTTCCCAGGTAGCTGAGCATTTTTATAATAAAAAAGTGCTGAGGCATTTTATCAAATGTTTTTCTGCATCTATTAAAATAAATATATGTATTTTTACTTTTCATGTTAACATGGTCAGCTTGTATTCATTTGTAGGATATGAAAACAATTTTGCATTTGTGTATTAAGTATCGTTTATTTATAAAATACTATAATTTTCATGCATAGGATGGTTTTATTAAGGAGTTTTGTTCTGCTGTAAGAGGAATTTTGGACTTTAATTTTAGGTTTTTACAATATCTTTGTCAGTCATTTGTAGTATGGTTTACCAGCCTCAAACGAAAGTGCTAGGAATTGCTTCCTTTTCCACAGATTAAAAAAAAATCAATTAGATCTCTTCCAAACATTCAATACACCTTAGGCTAGAATTTCCCTGTGAGATACCCAAACTATGCATTTATCCCTTTTCATGGATGCTGGGAATTAAATTTGATATTAATTGACTTTTTAAATTAGATGTATGACTAAACCTAGTAGGTTTCATATTTTTATTTTTTGTGTATATGGCAGAGTTTCATAATGTAGCTGTTATCAAATTGAAATCTCCTAACCAGACTTGCAGATATTGAAATTACAGACTAGCTCTAACAGGTCATTCTCATGCATCTTACTTTTCAGAGTAATTGTTTTTCTTCCAGACAGTCAAACATTTGCCATAAAGGTTTTGTTTGTGTGTTGACTATCTCTATTCCCTTTAAAGCCTAGAGCATTTTACTGGTGTGGTACCCATCATCTGCTGGATTTCATTGGTCCTTATGAAAGCACACTGGCATTTGTTTCTTGTTCCTACTATGTGTAATCCCTGTTAATTCATTAACTGATATATGGGTTTGGTTGATTAAATTTAAGCCAGGGTTTTACTAAAGAGTTTAGGATGGTCTGAAACTCATTTTGCAGTCCAGACTGGCCTCAAATTAATTTCTCTCTGGCTTCAGTCTCCAGAGTTCTGGCATTTGGGGCTTGTCCCAATGCCATTAAATTCTAGATACCTCCTTTAGGTTTGCTTCTCAGCAACTATTCTAAATGTCAGAAAACTGCCCTGCCTATCAGATGAAATGTATGGTCTGTGTATGTTCTGTAAGCAAATAACTAGTTTTACATTTGTGATAAGAGAAGAAGTAAGAGAAAAGATACAGGGTAGGAGGGCGCTAAACAGACAGAAACCGACATGGTGCAGCGCCTGCACTTCGGCACTGGTCACTTTACACAAAAATATTCTCCAAACTCAATACACAGTGGTGTGTTGTTGAGATTTCCCTGCTTATCTTGTATGGTTTACTGAGCTTCTCATAGCAATCAACTTTGATTTGGATTCACAATGAGAGTATTTTAGGATATTTATTTTTTGTTGTTGTTTTGTTTTGTTGAGACAGGGTTTCATGTAACCCAGCAGTTGCCTAAACTTGTAGCTGAGGCTGCCTATGATCAGCTCCTGCCTCCACCTCTCAAAAGCTGAGTCTCCACACATGATGGACCATTATTTCATTAACAGTATTACTTGATCTATGCTCTCTTTCTTCTTTCTGAGACCAAAGACCTGAATGTCAGGTTGCTTAATTGTTCCCTGCAGGTTGCTGAGGTCATGATCACTTTTCATTTCTTTTCTGCTTTTCAGATTGAATAGTTTCTCTTTATCTGGCATCATGTAATTGGGTTGACCCCCCACCCCACCAAACACACAGCAGTATTTGTAATCTGACATTAAACCTGTCCAATGAATTTGAAAATTTGAGATTTTGCTTTTTGGCTTTCTGGAGCTGGCTACCCCACCCTTTTCTAATACTTTGTATTTTTCACCTGAAATACTTTATGCATCACTCATAAACATCATTCTATAAATTATTTGACATATCTACAGTTCCTCCATTGATTTCCTTAATTTCAATCCTGGGTCACCTTGGCATCTATCTTTATTGACTTCTCTTTCTTTAATGATTGCTACATTTTCCCATTTCTTCTCATACTTACGAACACAGATTCTTACAGTGCATTTGTGGTGATTAAGTACAAACCTCCTGGATCCCATTTTCTTCCTCTGAAAATTTCGAATGTGTCCTAAACAGAGGAAAGTTACTGGTGCATAGAGCAGTGGAGGAGAGCATTTGATGCTTGAGAGACAGTTGACAGACAGTTCATGGTGCTTAACTTACATTTCTAAGTTTGTTTAAATCCTGTCTACTTGGTGCAAAGCACTGAAAACTCTACTCAAGTTTCTCTGTTTTCTTTTTAGTTCTTTCCACTGGGCTTCTTGGCATCTTGTGAATGACTTTTTATGCAGAATGGATCAGTTAAGCTGTATGGGGGGGGATGTCAATATACCTGATGTTGCTACCCAGCCTCCACAGACCTCTCTTCTGTTGATTTTTCTTTTTGTTCTTTAAACATCAATTTGGTTTTTTAATATTATTATTATTATACTTTGTATTTTATTTATTATTTATTATAATAATTATATTATTATTTAAAATATTACTATAATAATAACACTATTATTATTATTATTATTATTATTATTATTATTATTATTTTGGGTTTGTCTGTGTAACAGCCCTAGCGTTTTGAGACAGGGCTTCTCTGTGTATCCTTGGCTGGCCTGGAACTCACTCTGTAGACCAGACTGATCTCAAACTCATAAAGATCTGCCTGCTTCTGCCCCCCGAGTGCTGGGATTAAAGGTGTGCTCCATCACAGCCTGTTTCAAACATCAAAGTTTTATAGTTCCTGACTGCTTCTTATTATTCTCAGAGGGCTCAAGTAATTAATTTTCACATTTTCCCCAAGTTTACATTTTCATCTGATGGTATGTTAGACTAATGTGCAACATTACCAAAATCATAACTGATAGCTGGGTTAAATTTTATTTACAAGTGACATAATTAAATGAATATACAACTTCTGTAATTATGACAAAATGTTTATACAAAAAAGAATTTTGAAAAAAATACAAATTTTACAAACACTTACTATCTGGGTAGAAGTTTACAAAGTTTATAAAATCAAGACCTTTGTGTCTGGCAAATTGTGAAGTAAATTGTCTCCACTATATTCCCTAAAACTGTTGTCCTGATGTTTGGAGATATAGTCTAGAGATGAAACATTTACCTAGCAAACTTGAAGCCCTTGGTCTTACTAATTTAATTTGATACTAGATTTATCTACTAAATACACATACTTGATTTTATTTGCGTGTGTATGTTTTACACATAAAATATTTAAGCAAAGTTTACTTGGGTGCTAATTAGTAATAATCTGAATTACTTTGGGAGCACTGAATTCGTTATAGAACAGATCTGTTTGTCAGTCTCGGAGGTTAGAGAATTTTCTGATCAGCAATCTGATTCAGGTATGTTTTCCTAATCAGTATCAAGCATAATAATTAGCTAGAGGGCTTTGGTTTCCTACTTCTTGCCATTGCAAGTATGAATCAGATTTGTAACACTCTAAAGTTAATTCAAAGTATCTATAAATCCTTGCAATATACCACAGAGGCTTTCTGATGTCTGGTGACTCTTCCCTGTAGAAAGCCCTGTTCTAAATTATATTTACAAATAACATTTTCTATTTAAGCTCCAGTTTAAATGTTACTGTTTCTGCACAATTATTGTTTGAAGGCAATGTGATGGGTTGTGGCATTTGATCCTAGGGGCTCTTCCAGTGTGTCTATTTTTCTTCCTTCCTTCCTTCCTTCCTTCCTTCCTTCCTTCCTTCCTTCCTTCCTTCCTTCTTCCTTCCTTCTTCCTTCCTTCCTTCCTGTAATTTAAATTAGAGAGAAGCTTGCTTCACATGTCAATACCAGCTCCCTCTCCCTCCCCTCCTCCCCGGAACCCCACCAGCCCCCTCCCCAATCCTCCACCCCCATCTCCCTTCGGCTCCCCAAGGAGGGTGAGTCTTCCATGCGGGATCTCAAAAGTCTGTCACATCATCCTAGGTAGGGCCTAGGCCCTCCCCCATTTGTCCAGGCTGAGAGAGCATCCTCCACGTGGAATGGGCTCTCAAAGCCCATTCGTAAGCCAGGGATAAGTACTGATCTACTACCCTAGGCCCCATAGATTGCCGAGGCTTCCTCACTGATACCCATGTTCAAGGGGTCTGGATCAGTCTGTCCCATGCTGGCCTCTCAGCTATCATTCTGGGGTCCATGAGCTCCCCCCTTGTTCAGGCCAGCAGTTTCTGTGGGTTTCACCAGCACGATCTTGACCCCTTTGCTCACCACTCCTCTGTCTCTGCAACTGGGTTCCAAGGAGTTCAGTTCAGTGTTAAGCCGAGATCTACAAGGATGACAATCTAAGCAATAGTGGAGAGACTACATTAAATGCTCTTCCCCAATAATGAGATTGATGACTACCTTGTATGCCCTCTTAGAGCCTTTAGTACTTTTCGTTTATCAGTGTCTTACCAACCTTTTTATTTCCATAAGCTTGTTAAAGGTAGTGAATATGGCTCATGTCTGTGTTAGGGACAGTGCTAGAACCATGGGGACATGATTAATATCGTCTTAAACAAATGATGGTTTCTAAACTGTTGTGAACTTGAGTCATATTTGATTAGATATATAATCCAGTGTGGTTTTTACATCATGATTTATATTAGCAAAAATATTCCTCCTTAAAAATGAAACTATGTATAGACACAAAATGAAAGATATAGTCTACTAGAGAAAAGTATATTCATATATATTCATTTCCTGGGAAACCAGTATAGGGATTTTGTTTTCTTCCATGCCATCTGGAAAACTAATGTGTGTGAAGTATTGTGAGCAATTTAGATTTGTTTAATTAAAATATTCAACAGTAAAAGCTCCTTGTAATTCTAAGCATGTACTGTGTGCCAGGGATCTTGTGAGATACCTTCCAGGCCATCGCTCTTCATCTCCCCCTATAGAACATCTTTGGAGCAATGTTTGTGCTGGTGTCAAAATGAAGGGTAAGGGCTACACACGCCCCAATGGGATATGAGCTCAACTTCTACTTACAGAGTCTGAAAGTCTCTTTCCAGGTTATACAACCATGTACAAAACCTGGTTTCTAGTTTAAATATTTAATTGTGTCTCTTTTGAGCAGAAGATACAATTTTTTTCTTCGAGTCCGGGTTTCTCTGTATTGCTTTGGAGCCTGTCCAGGCTGGCCTTGAACTCACAGAGATCTGCCTGCCTCTGCCTTCCGAGTGCTGGGATTAAAGGTGTGCACCACCAATGCCAAACAGAAAATATAAAATTTTATGTAAATAATTATGCCATGATTAGTGTGAAAGTTCTTGAAAAGTAAATTGGAAGGAAAATTGGTGATAGTGATTTTAAATCATATCCTTTTAAAACATACAATACGAAGGCAGGTTAAATTATGAAATATATAGTTGAGTATCCCATCCAAAGATCATCATTTTGTTATGATTATAATGCAGTGGTTATAAAAACGTGTTTCTTTATGTATATTAGGATTCAAGGGTTCATCATCTGTGGTTTCATTATGCACACTTTAAAAAGACCAAGAAGAAATGGAACATGGAAAAAACTTATTGATTATTGAATCTAAAAAACAAACATCTACAGATTGGTGATATTGGACACTTTACTTTGTGTATCCATTTAGAAAAAAATGGATTTTAGAAGCCCACCAATCTGTGTCAAAGATGAATGAATTCTTATAATTTTATCAAAATAATTTGTTATGGATTTTTAAAACTAATCAGCACTGAATTGTTTGCAGTTGTTTGCTGAGTTGAAAATACTGGCATTTTTATTTCACTTGACTGAAACAAACCATTTCAATTATTTTTTCAGGTGTCACCAAATTATCCAAGACCATGCCAGCCATGTCACTGTGATCCAGTTGGCTCCTTAAGTGAAGTGTGTGTGAAGGATGAGAAATATGCCCGTCGAGGTGAGGCACTGTAGAGAACTGGCTGAGATGAGAAGATGACTGGATGCCAAGCACCATTCTTGTCAGAGAATTTTAAAATAATACATTCCCAGAGTGGGGATTCTGGTATCTAACGCTGTGCCCCCTAGGATCCTGTTTTTATTCGCAATAATGTTTGATTTTGTAATGAACTATATTGTAGGAAGAAATTTGTCAGAAACAGTTTAGTTGTAGAAATGTTATGGTGTGCATTATACAAACTATGATGTCACCATGTAGTATAATCTTATGGGATCACTATCATCTATGTGACGTTTCCTTGAGAAAAAAATGATGCTATATGACAGTTACTAGTTTGTGTGTGTGTGTGTGTGTGTGTGTGTGTGTGTGTGTGTGTCTGTGTGTCTGTGTGTCTGTGTGTCTGTGTCTCTGTGTCTCTGTGTGTCTGTGTGTGTGAGGGAGGGGGGAGGAAGGGCATAAATCGAGAGTGTGTTAGTATGTGTACAATTTTTCATGTCCTGTTACTTGATTGTTCTGTAGCTTCCACTGGGTCCAATTTAAAATGACAATATTCATTGAGAGATTTTTGTGCAGCATTAGGAAGTAAACAGTGATCACATTGTGGGAAGTAGGTGATGCCAAGTGCACACACAGGACTACAGAACTGTGAGAAGTAGATGATGTTATGTGCACATACACGACTACAGATGGTGGCAATATGAGTTGAACCCAATAACTCTGAGAAATCAAATGCACAATAAATGCTCATCATCAAGGAATCAAGTGGCAACATCATAAAATTAACATTTGGGAGCTGATTTCAGGACATTCGCCCGAGATAATTTGAGTAGCAACTTTAAAGTAGCAAATAATGAAGACTGTATGCATTTTTGCCCTAATACCCTTAAAGTTAAATCCTGCCACAATGAATTATTTCCCTTTTTATAGACAACTCAATCACAATTATCAATAGTATTGTCACCCACCAAAATTAGTACATTATTCAAAAAGTTATTAGAAATAGAAAAATTAGGAAAATAAATACATAATATTGTCGCAGTTTAGAAGTAAGAAGCAATAATAATGAAATTTTACAAAGAGAAAAACTTTAAATGCCCCTCCTAATTTATTTCATATTTTACCTTTTATTGGATCCTTAAGGGGAACTGGAGGTTCTTCACGTGGGTGATGGGACTGCATCAGGTCCTCTGGAAGAACAGCAAGTACTCTTGACCACTGAGCCATCCCTCCAGCTCCAATAACCAGCCTGTTTGGGAGCAAAAATCTAATAAAAATAATTTATTATCATGTCTTTATCAATGTAAACTGAATGTTTTTGTTACTAAATCTATTATATTTTATGACCCTCGTTAAAATTTATGTAGCAATTTTATTTTTCTATACACTTTCCCAACATGTACATATGTTCTTTGTATTTAATATCCCGAGTATATTATGCAAATGGACTCTTGATAGTAATAGCATGTATGCTTGACTTATTCATGTTTAATATTCCTTTTGTTCAGTGATATGACTTCTTATCATGATATATTCTTGCATTTCATTGCTCTTCATCTTTGTATGACAGAGATCACATTTTATTGATTTGCTCTCATTTTGAAGGCCTGTTTCTTGTATTCATTCATTCAACATTTTTTCTATCTTTATCATCAAAGGCAAGAACAACAGACAACAGTCCTCATGTTATTCCTAAAGAGAGACCAAAGATTTTCTTGTGGCTGTATTATCATTAACTTTCTCTATCAAGAGAAAAGAGAAATTACAAGAGCTTTCATACCCCTCTTCCATGCCCAAAATCTATTTCTATGAATGCCTTCAGTCTTTTTTTTTTGAAAATTTAAAAAAAAATACTTGATTAATTAATTGAGAATTTCATACACTATATTTTTTATCACATTCACCCTACTACTCCAGTTCTACCGCCATTCAGCCTTTTCTTTAGCATTGTTGTGGGTGTCACTACATCAAATTAACAATGTTTACTCAAAAGTAGTCTTTCGTTATTTCCAAGGATTTCCCCTATCTGTTATGATGCTCTGGGATAGGCTTGATTATGAGCTACCAGATATGCACAAGACACAGCTTATTCTTTCCAGTGTTGTGTCTTTAAACTTTATAGAAAGTACCCCTTGATAATTTTGTTGTTGCTGCTGCTGTTGTTTTCCATAACCTTGGCAAACACAAGTTGTAGTTTCATAAAGTTTCAGCTTTTACTTTTCTGTCCTTCATTTTTCTTTAATTTCCTATGTATGTGGTGTGTGTGTGTGGATACATGCGTGTAGGTAGGTATGTGGACATGGTTTGTGGTCATGTGTGTGGGAAGTTAAAAGTAAACCTAGGTTGCCTTTCTTTACAGCTGTCAACCTTGTTTTTCAAGACCGGGTCTTTCACTAAACCCAGAGTTCATCCATTTGACTACACTAGCTGGCCAACCAGCTCCAGGCATCTGCCTATTTCTGCAAGCCCTAATTTTATTTCCCAGTGCTAGGGTTGTAGATATGCACTGCCCCACCCAGCTTCTATGAGGGTTCTAGGAATGGAAACCCAGATTCTTATGCTTGTACATATTATTCACTGACCCCTCTCTCCAGCCCTTATTCTTTTACTTTTTAAAATACTTTTATGAGTGGATGTTTTGTGTATGGATGTTTTGTTTGCATGCAAATATGTGTACCACGTGCATGCTTACTCTCAGCATAGGCCAGAAAAGCTTGTTGGGTCCCCTGGAACTAGAGTTACAGATGATTTCAAGTCGCCATGTTGGTGTTTGGCAGCAAACCTAGGTCCTTTGGAAGAGCAACCAATGCTCTTAACTGCTGGCCCATCTTCCCAGCCCCTCTGGATATTTTTATATATCCAGATCCTTTGGTTTTAGCTTTAATGATTGACACAAGGAAAGAAGGCCATATAAAACAACATGAGAAAGCTCACATAAACTCACAGAGACTGAAGTAGAATGCACAGGACCTGTATGGGTTGGCATTGGGCTTTTTGTGTATATAGTATGGCTTTCAGTTTAGTGTCTTTATGGGATTCCTGAGTATGAGAAAAAGTACGTTTCTGATTCTTGTGTCTTCTCCTAGGGCTTTTTTCCTTCTGTTCGTTTGTCTTGTCCAACTTTGATGTGATAGTTTTGGTTTTATCTTATTATATTTTATTTTGTTACATTTTCAAATGTATTAATGAAGGAATTAATGAAAACCTATTCACTAGAGTAACATTAACAACTGAACTATCACTTATAACTGCTGGGAGAGGGAAAATCAGTTTTCTCCAACAGAGAGACACTGGGTAATTCAACCACTCCAGGACAGGCCTCATATTCAGGTGTAGATGAGCAAAATATAATAAACTCCAAAAATTTTGCCTGTACTTTTACTTAGTTACAGTTTTGGGGTGTGTGTGTGTGTGTGTGTGTGTGTGTGTGGGTGTGTGTGGGGTGTTTGTTTTCTAGGTTTTGCTGTTGTATTGGGTTTTTGTTTGTTGAGAAGGAGCCTAAAGTTGGATAGGTAAGGAAGGGGAGAGGATCTGGAAGGACTTAGGGGAAGGAAAAAAATAGGAACAAAGTATATTTCAATTCAAAATTGCTTTAAATTTTTAAGTGATAAAATTTTAAAAACTAATTTTGTGAGCAGGGTCCAACTTAAAAGTTACTATAATTTAAACCTCTAGAACTAAATTGTGTGTCCTTTGAAAGTGCTGATATGTAATGCTTCTTCCTTCAGGGTTGAAACCTGGATCCTGTCACTGCAAAACTGGCTTCGGAGGCCTGAACTGTGATCACTGTGTCAGGGGCTACAGTGGCTACCCAGACTGCCAACCCTGCAACTGCAGTGGCTTAGGGAGTGCAAACGAGGACCCTTGTGTGGGGCCCTGTAGCTGTAAGGTATGTTGTGTAATCCCATTGTGTCTCATTGTTGAGACAGAGGACATGTGTGGCACCCTGTAGCTGTAAGTTCATCACTGTTCAATCTAATTGTGTCCCATTGTTGAGATAGAGGACAGCTTCCTTTGGCTTCTCTGTTACATCTGTTGCCGTTAGGCATGTCAAGTTTTCCTGTACTCATGACTATTAAGTGCACAATCCTACTGTAAGTTTCATTAAATGCTGACTAGGTTCACTGTCACACCCGAATTTATGTAAACTCTCCAAATACATAGGCCCCCTTAGGGTCTATGCCATTTTATAACAAATGATTTTTCTCCAGTTGCAGAAAAATGTATGTATCACTTGAAAAAATAGTTATTTCAAATTTAAAAATATATACCTTTGCAGTCACTTCTGAAAAAAATTCTGTCAAAGATTTTTTTTTAAAAAAAGTAATTCCCTGAAAGCTGAGTGGAGATAGGTCTTAAAATTCTCACCATATTTAAATTCTTCTGTATAATTACCAAAGTGTAAGAAAACCTAGTGGAAATGACTAAAAATTCGATGTGATCTCCCATGGGTGCTTTTAGAAAGGCAATTTCATTTGTTGTACACAATCAACTAACTTCATCACGTTAACTCTAAGGGACATTTTACACCTGTAGCTTTCACACACATAGGAAACAGGCATTCACAAATCTGAAATAATAGCACTAATTTACTTCAGTTACACAAGTCCATTCCATGGTTTCCTGATTAGTGCATAATTGTATGAACTGAGTGCATGAGCAATCTTGTTAAAATGGTGGCATGACACATTATTATAAACACAAATAGTCTTTCCTTTTCTTTACTAATTTGTTATGATTATCTATGAATATATGATAATAGTTGGTATGTGTATATTTTGGTGTATGTGCATAAATATCACAGCATAATAAAATATTTTTAATATTAAGTACATATTAGGAAAAGCATTTCTGAAATATGTCATGTAGTATATTGTTTGTATATTTTATTTATACTTAGTGTATATAATGACAATAAAACTATATACATATGATGTTTACAAAGCAAGCATGTATTATATTAGAGACTATTTAAACATCTATATTGAAACTGGACCAGTTGCTGCCTACACAGTGAACAGAAAGCCATTGTGAAAGCTCTCATGTATTGGAATATAAGAATTTTTCTAGATTTAGTGCATTTCATTCCAGTATTATCTGAAATGAAAACTGCTCTCTAAAACCAGCGCTGGACAGCAGTGATTGAGTGGCAACTTGCTTCAGGACCCACCCAATCCTGCCCCTACCCCATGCTGAATTCTGTGGCGGGCTAAGGGGGGGTGCAATCCTACAGCCTCCAGTTCTTCTCAAATATGCAGTGAGAAAAATCTTGTTTATGCACCCTTTCTTTTCCCAAAGTGCTACAGACATCTCTCATTTTGTCTCTTGCTCCAGTGCAGGAAAGGTAGAGCTAAGCTTAAGGTAAGATAACTTGATGAGTCTGTAGAATACAGAAACTCAAGTAGGAGAGAGGATGCATTTTTAGAGACACATCTTTAAAGAAAGGTGGGACATCTGCTATGCTTAAGGAAGGACTGACAAGGGGAAAGAAGGGCAAGCATCATTTCTTTGGCTTCTTTGGGAGATAGAACTAGGAAGGCAGAGATTTTACCTGGATCTGGTTAGACACAAAGTCTTGAGAAGAGTGACAGTAATCCTAATGAGAAAAGTGCCACCATGAAGACACTTGACGCTCTAAGTACACAATTAAAATGCTACAACAAACAGTAATTAAGGAATCATAAAAGATACTTAAAATTAGCTAAATAGCATCATTAAAAGCAATGTCTTTCAATAGTGTGATATTTTAAATATAAAGCATCAGCTCTTAAGAAGTCTTGTGATAAAAATATGCAGAAAGCAAGTTTTATAAGATGCAAGCACAACTGTAAAAATATAAAAAAATGTACACACATAATGAATGAGTTAGTTACATCAAAAACTATGTCACAACATAATTATATCGTGGTGTTTTATAATGAACTATGTATCAATGTACAGACAATGCACTGTGATGAATTGCCCATCAACTCTCATTTACAAGAATGATAAACAGCTAAGTATTTAAAACATCTACACATACAGTTTAAATTCTGAAAGGAACAGCCACTAGTGCAGAAAGGGATGAGATGTATCCTTCTTTTTTAAAAGTATGATTTGAAATACTTGTGCCAACTGATAAAGAAATATAAAACAAAATTCTTTATGAGAAGAAAAATGTTATTGGATACTTTAAAAAATGGTAGATTTTTATTTGAGTATAGTGTGTGTAAGCATGTATATTCATGTATGGATATAAAGATAACTGATTTTAACAAGTACTTATTTATAAATAGAATATAAGATAGATACAAATAAGTATATAAGTATAAATGGGCAAAATGCATGTTAATCAATAAAAATTTACATTTATATTTCCTTATATTGCTATATAGAGAGATTTTTTCTTTATTTTATTTTTCAAATGCTTCTATTTTTAAAACTTTTTATAGTATTTGTTGACTGCCTGTGTGTGTGTGTGTGTGTGTGTGTGTGTGTGTGTGTGTGTGTGTGGAGAAACAAAATTCCACAGCAGTCCACAGCAGTCCTGTGGACATCAGAGGACTACTTACTGGAGTTGGTTCTCTCAGTACACCTTATGAGTCCTAGGGCTCAAACTCTGGTTGTCAGTTTCAAACAGGCACCTTATGTGCTGAGACACCTGGCTAACCTGTCTCCTTTGTCATAGTTTTCCTGAATCAGAGCTATCCATTGAGTACAAAGACATTTTAAGGAACTTCTTCATTATTAAACCTGACGCCTGTTTTTTGTTCTTTCAATTTTAAGTGACAGATATTCTAAATGCTGTATTGAGTTGAGATAGACACAAGTTTTCTAGCTTCTATTATTTTAAACAATAATTTGGTTGGATAAATATAGCTGTAAACTAAAAATAGTTAGATTCAGGAAATATATGGGAATTTCTAGATGTCACACCAAAGAGGGAAATCTGTTAAACCTAAACTCAGGCCAATTTGAATAACAAGACTGATGAGGTGCAGGTAGAAGGTGAGTCTTAATTTTTTAGATAAAGTCCAATATTTGGAGGAGTTAATACACTTGAATTGATCCACAGAGATAGGCAGGAATTTAACTGCTTCTTTTGAGGACCCCAGAAATACTTTCCAAATGTGAGAAGTAGACTATCCCTCCATGGGGTAAATACAGGGAAGCAAGCAGACAGCTTTCTGTGTCTTTTGAGATCCAGGAGAAGAAAAGTTAGTGGCCAATCAGGAATCAAATCCCCAAACCTGTGTGTAAAATAGGATTGGTCTTATTCTTTCCTCATGATATCCAGAAAGAAAATGGGTACTGATTGCTTCTGGGAGAGAGAGACAGAGAGAGAGAGAAAAGAAGACGAAGAAGAAGAAGAAGAAGAAGAAGAAGAAGAAGAAGAAGAGAGATTCTCTCCTTACCCAACATTAGATAGGCTCCTTGACTTCTCTTTCTACACCTTTGCTTTAAGCTTCATCAAGTCTAACCATGTCTAATAAGAAACCTCCCAAGTCACCCTCTTGTGAATCCCTCATCCTTCCCTTCAGAGCAGCCTGCTCTGCCTTCCACACACAAGCTGCTGGGTAGTCTTATCAAGAATTTTAATCATCCTTAATGTTCTTTGTTAGTAGCTTTCTGTGGATTTGCCCTCATGGGTTCTGTTTACAAAGCCTCACTTACCCTTGCTGCATTAGGAATGATGCCCTGTTCAGCACTGAGATCTTATCTAAATAGATGCTAGGTAAAAATCTGTTTTGATCATATAAAGTAATATATGGCTATTCCTTTTAAACAACATTGACTAAAACTCAGTTTGCAAGAAGTGAAACTCTGATTTCTTTTCATTTTTCCCTAGGCCACCATGTGTTATCTATCTCTGGATCAGTTTGTTTAAAGAACATGTACCCAACAAACACTGCTAATTAAGTAATTATCCTCCATGTGTTAACTTATTTTAATACTAAGACACATTAAAATGAAGACCTTTATGGAAGAAAAAAAACATATAATTGACTACACAGGCCTCAAAAACTAAGTGTGACTACAAAATTTCCTAAGCAATTATCATTAAAAAAAAAAAAAGTTAAATGTCACTGTAGATATTCTCAGTAACTTTGTCAGTAGAATTCCCAGTTGAGTAACAATCTCAGTTAAACACACATTGTGGAAGTTGTACCTAATTTATAAGGTGGCAGCTTCATGAGAATGGAAACGGGAAAGCTATTGTGACTCTATTTCTCCAGAGAGAGGCTGTTCTGAGGAAGCTATTGCAAAAAGAAAATTGATGTCAGCTCAACAGCCTCTTACTTGAAGGGTGGAAAAAGCTACATAGTAAGGTTTCTCAAATTTAGCTACTTCATGGCAAAAATAGTCCTAAAGAAATAAAGGGCAGCCTCTAAGAGTGTTTTGTAGGATAGACCACAATATATGTTAATTAATCATTTAACTACATATGGTCAATGGAACTATGGGACAAACAAGCCTTCCTGAGGAGATGAGTGTTCATTCAGGAGGAACAAAAAACATTAATTTTACATGTAAGACAAGTGGGCTGGGCTTTGGTAGTACACAAATTTAATCCCAGCACTTGGGAGGCAGAGGCAGGCAGATCTCTGAGTTTGAGACCAGCCTGGTCTACAAGGGCTAGTTCCAGGACAACCTCCAAAGCCGCAGAGAAATCCTGTCTCAAAAACAAAATCATGTAAGATAACTGTGTCCCTACAGTGCATCTATACATATAGTCCATCTGTATTTTTAAGGTTTCACAGTGAAGATAATGATGATAATGTGACCAAACATACCCCATGAGGGTCATGATAATGAAAATTAGCTTGAATAAATTGAGAACAATGATCTCAAGCCAAGTGACACTTTTAATATCACAACATGGAAGAATGTATTATCTATTATATGGAA